TTATCTTCTAGAAAAGGGGTGGGCAAAGTGTGCTACATTTCTGCCTCTTTCATGCCATTTTAGGCCCTTTTCTAAAAACAATAAGTGAACCAGAAGCAACTTCCAGGTTATTTCATGCTGTGAAAAAAGCCTAAAACAGCTTAAGGGAAGCAAAAATGTGTCAATAGAGCTAGTGCATCGTAGTGGTTTCAGCGCTAGAATATGACTCTGGAGAATAAGGCTCAATTCTCAACTCAGTCATGAAACCCACTGGGTGATCATGGGCAAGTCACAGACTTTCAGCCTCAGGGAAGGTAATGGCAAACCTTCTCTGAAAAATCATGCCAAGAAAACCTCATTATAGGTTTGCCTTAAGGTCGTGGTAAGTCAGAAATGATTTTAAAGCACTAGAAGGAAGCATTTGGAGACAAAACAATTCCTGTGGTCATTGCCCACCAATGCAGCACCTTGATTGGCAATAATTGCCCATCCCTGCCCTATAATAAATAAGCCAAGAAATATCAATAGCAATAAGTATCTAAAGCTGGAATCTTCTGTCATGATATACAAAAGGTAGCTTTACATATACTTAACTACCTAAGTAAAGATGCTAAGAAACTCAGTCGATTTCAAAGATGTGTAATGGGATACCCATTAAGTATCCTATATCTGGAAATCTGAAATACTCCAAAATCCTAAATTGCCCATGTGGGTGGCTGAGACAGTGACACCTTTGCTTTCTGAGGCTTCAATGTATACAATCTTTGTTTCATGCTCAACATTATTAAAAAATATGTATAAAATTACTTTCAGTCTTTGTGTATAACGCCTAATTGAAACATTTTTGAATTTTGTGTTTAGACTTGGGTCCCACCTCCAACGTATATGTACAGTGGGCCTTTAGTATCTACTTCTAGGGCCCCCTGTGGATACCAAAATCCATGGATGCTCAAGTCTCTTTATATGCAATGGAGTAGTAAAATGGCATCCCTTATATAAAAGGGCAAAATCAAGTTTTTCTTTTCTTTTTTTCTTCCCCCCCCCCCCTTTTTTTTCCCCTTTTGTTTTGGTGAATATTTTTGAACCATGGATGGTTGAGTCCTTGGATACAGAGGGCTGACTGTATATGCCGATATTCCAAAATTGAAAATATTTCTCCGACAATATTAAAAGATCTGGCAGAACTATCCAAAATATCAACAAAACTATTTCAGTGGTTACCCCCTCCTGGAAGATCTAGTAAGACCACTAGAGACTTCTCTAGAACTGTTTCACAGTCCTGTGCAAACCTCTAGGTATTCATGCTTCTGATGAATCCAGCAGGACTTCCTCAAAACCATAAGATCTTTTGAAGATTTTATCTTCTACCCAAGGTGAACTCTGCCTCTGTCATTCAGTCTTCCCATAGCAAATCACATATTTTTCCCATCAGTCAGATATTTCCTTTCTCATAAGCTTTTGACTAATCAGCTCAAAAGGAATGTAATACTTCCTCACAGGAGAAGCGAGTATTAACACTGTCCAAAGAATTTATCCATTTTAAGCTGTACAAGACTCAAAAGTTTCCCTGTGTCCCAATGAAGCTCCCTTAGCAGATCTCCTGTCTGGGACCTTGATTCCCAAGGTAGGTGATGTGTCCTTTCAGGATACAAAAGAAGATAAATTAGACCTTGCATTCAAAGAGGTTTCAGTGTTCAAGCCTCAAAATACATTGCATTTGCCTATATGACTTTATCTTGGGTAGAAGACAAAATCTTCAGAAGATCTCATGGTTCTGAGGAAGCTCTGCTGGATTCATCAGAAGCATGAATCCAGTCAGTCAATTCACATCCAGCCACTTGGAGGCTAATGAAACCTGGATTTTATTGTGGAACTCAATAACAGTAATTTAAAAGGTGGATAAAATAATGGTAGAACAAGTGGCAGAACAAGAGGAGAAGACAAGGTCCTTCCGACAGCAGAAAAAGCTAAAACAGAATAAAGTTGGAGAGAGGAGATCTATAAGGGGCAACCGTTCAAGTGCACACATGAGTCAGGCATGATTAGTTGACAACAGATCTATGTATGGCACACTTGTAATTGCAACATAGGGCAATAGACCACAACAAAAATGCCCTGCTGGGGCAGAACAGTCAGTATTTGCTGTTGCCCCTTTCTCAACAGCCTCCACCTTCTCCAGGACTTCGATGTACACAGAAGATGTATGCATCTCTACTCCAGACAGCTAAGCCTTCTGTTGGAAGATGGTTTAAGTTATGTGGCTCATCAGCAACTGTAACTAATGTGATAAGGGATCCGTCTCCTTTTCAGTGAGATCCATAGCTGCCACTATGCAGCTAAAGAACCTGGCAGATACCCCAGCAAGAGCTAATTTGGACACAGTTCTATTTAAAGAGTTTGCTACTTTTTGGTCAAGTTGCTCTTAACTTGTGATCAGTGACAAAAAGCAGGCAAAAGTGAAAAAGAAGGAAGAAGAGAGTTTCTAAACACTTCTACCAGTCCTTTGATCCCAGCAGGGCTTTCTCCTCCCACAAGACTGGGCTACAGGTCCAGGTTTTTCTAGGGGCTGTTCCCACTTACATTTGAATCGGTTCACGAATCATGTTGACACTGGATGGCTGAAGCGATTGGGGCAGAGGCGCAGTTCCCACTATGGAACTGAATTGCGGCAATGGCACTAGTAGTTCCCACTAGTGCCATTTGTGCCGCTTCGGGGGGGGGGGACCAGGTCCAGGGTGGGAGGGACCTGATCCAGGCCCCTCTGGATGGCAGGGGCAATGGAGGCTGACCTGCTGGGTTTTCCGGCAGCCCTGCTTATGCTCACCCGCTTGTTCACTCGCTCAATCGCTTGCTTGCCTGCCCACCTGCTCAACCATCCACTCGCTTGCCAACAATAAAGAGCCCCTGGAGCTCTTCTCTCTGGAGAAGGAGGACGAGGAGGACAAGGATGAGCAGCTGAGCGGCCCCTCCAGTAAAATGCAAAATGTGATTCAGGTCCATCGTTCACACTTATTGAACATGGTTCTGAATCAATTTATTCCAGAAAGACCACCAGAAAACTACTCTTCAAACCATGCAGATTTTTTTTTAATTTGTGGCATTTCAAAGCGACTCTGAACGACCAGTCGCTTCTGAAACCGTTCACAGTGAGAACAAGGCACATATACAGCGAATCGCAATTTGCTATAAATCGTAGTGGGAACGGCCCCCTAGAGTCAGATGCAAGCTTGGCTCAGCTGAACAGGAAGGGATGCCAACTATTCTGATTTCTGATCCCCGAAGATTGTGGGAAATTGGATTATTTTTTTCCCCATCAAGACCTAGTACAATCTCAAAATCATACAACTCAGCTATTCCATCAAGTCTTTATCGTCTTCCCAGGGATCTATTTTGGTCTTCCCCAATCTCAATGTCCCTACCCCAAAAGAGTCACTTTTGCACAGCAGTCTAGCACCTTGTTTAGGACAATAGAGATAATGCCCCAGACCTCAAGTATTTCTCCATTTTGTGTGAGCCCTCAACTGGGTGGATGATTTCCAGGCTATCCTAGGTAAATGTTTCAGGCTATCTGATGTGGGGGGCTGACATTCCCTCTCCTAATATGACAGGGACCAGTACCATTAGCTAAAACTGTTTCTTTCCTCCTTGGAAATGGTGTACTGGCAGCTGATAGGTC